TTTTTCAGATTTACAGAATGTTATCACAACTACCTCTGTTGAAAAATGTTAGGTACGCAACATGTCAATTTGGGAATTTACCGTTTTTTCTTACAGGCAAATCCCCATTTTTACATGTTCTGTGCTCGACTAGATCAGCAAGGAAGAAGAACACCCAACCGAAAATGCCATCGCATGTAAGTCTCGTCAAATGTTTTTGAAATATTATGCCTCAATTCATATTACAGTTTGATTAGTTAGGTGATAAACACACATTGGCCGCCACAACTGTACATAGAGCTATGTTAGGTACGCAAACTTGTCCATTTGGCACTGAACCGTCTTTTTTATACAGGATCAGTCGATTTGAACAAGTTTCTGTGCTCGACTAGATCAGCAAGGAAGAAGAAGAATTCATCGAAAACGCCATCGCATGCGCGTCTCGTCACATACTACTGCACATCAATTTGACACTCTATAGTTTTTTTACACAGGTAGGGGGGGGGGGGGGGCACTTAAACGATTTCTATGCATGACTCTATCAACAAATTGCGGCCACAACTGTACAGCGAACAATGTTAGGTACGCAACTTGTCAATTTGGCGATTTACCGTATTTTCTTACAGGTATATCTCCATTTTGACATTTTCTGTGCTCGACTAGATCAGAGAGAAAGAGCATGTGGGTGTCATCAAATGGGTTGGAAATAAATGTCCTAATTCATATTACACTTTGATTAATTAGGTGATGACCACGATCATAGAATTGCACAATCCACAACTGTACAGCGATCAATGTTAGGTACAAAACTTGTCAATTTGTCCCTATACCGGTGTTTTTCATACAGGTAAGGCACATGTTGACAAATTTTTGTGCTCGACTAGATCAGCAAGTGAGTTTGATAAGCGGTGTTGGATTTTGATGCCTCGAAACTCGTCGGCGAAGATAAAGAAAAGTTTGTTCCCTGACATCATCAATGTGTTTGTGAATTCTTAATTTTGATGAGGGATGTTGAATTTTGATACCTGAAAATTGTCGGCAAAGATGAAGAAAATTTGGCTCCCAGACTTCATTGACAATGGATGTATGTGCCGCTTGTCAACTGTTGGTGAGATGTTATACTCCCACTCATCTCAGTTTCAGTTTCAGTTTGATGATTGATGCAACATTTGGGCTTTGACTTTAGTTTTGGAAAATCGGATGCAAGTTATAGATGTATTCTCATGCTCATGTATTAACTGGATGTGGAATGGGTGAAACGCATGTCAAATGCCGTTTGGTTTTTTCATATCGCCTGTCGCTTCTAAGATCAAATAGGTAAGCCGTAACAAAGTAGATGAATAATTAGAGGTCACCAAAAAAAAAAAAAGAGGGACCTCAAAATTTTAAGATCATCATGTATTTTCTAAATTTATTCCATGAAGCTTACTTTACAGACCTCTAGGACTCCGAAGATTTTGAGCGAAATTGGAGTGAAGAAAAATAACAAAGTAATTTTAAAGAAGCAATAAATCCACAAAAGTTTTAAAAAATTTATTTTTCCAAATTCATTGACACATTTGTGCCAAATAATTTTGTTCAAAAATTCTTATTTGGAGTTAAAAGTCATTTTGCCAGGTGAAAAGGCTATAGTGAGAAAAAGTCTAAAAATTACACATGTGCACATCTCAATTAATGTTACAAAATGTAAGGAACTATTTTCTAGTGACCTTTCTAATGTAGATGTATAGGGTATTTCCAATTCGAGCCATATCATTGGGATCTCGGAAATGGTGAGAGGTACGGACTTGGTTAAATTAGGGCAAAGTTGCGTAATTTGATGCTTAACAAAATGCCGCTGTGATATTTAGGATATTTCGAATACTTCTGGAAAAACCCGAAATTTTGCACAATTGTTTTTATTTCTTCCTGACTTTATTTGAAGTGATATTTCAAAAACAAAACATCACAATGCTACCATAAAATTTAAAATCTGACGTTTCGTCTTTGGGCCACCATCATCAACTTTATTTTTTAAAATACAACCCTGGATTTTTTATTTCAGATTTTCAGAGCTTCTGATGTCCCAAAACCTATAACCTATGAAATATTTTTTTTACTCTTTAGTAATTACCTACCAAAATTATTTTCTCTGTCTCTCTCTAACACATTTAGTTCTTATGGAAAGTGCCAATAATATAAATTTTTCGATAAGTGCAATACGTCATTGGTTTTGGGATATCAAAAGCTTATAAAATCCAAAATAAAAAATAAGGGTCCGCATTTAAAAAAATGAAGTTGATGATGGTGGCCCAAGGACGAAACGTCAAATTTCAAACTTGATAATGTCATCTTGTAGAGCAGAAAAAGTGGTAACAATAAAGTGACATTTATTTTGAAATATCTCCTCAAAGAAGCTCAGGAAACAATAAAATGGATTTAGCAAAATGTCGGTTTTTCCGGATATCTCGGAAAATGTTCGGAATTTATCAAATGTCAAAGTACCATTTTATTGAGCGTTAAATTGCGCAACTTTTTTCTCATTTACCCAATGCCATATCTACTACCGTTTACGAGATCTTCATGATAGACATCCTTATCTTGGACACTCTGTATATATCCTTTATTTAGCTATCAACTAATTCTTTGTAAATAAATTATCTTGTGATTCTTTAATTGAAATTAGGTCTATGGTTGATGGTTGGTTTCTTGGTTGGTTTATAAGCTGTAAACATTTTGAAAAAATATCTGTTTTAGAAGCTAGTAAATTTTGAATTTGGGACATTACTTTACTCGAGGGCTGACTGTACAAACCTTGGTACAAACTTATCAAAAACTTATTGATTTAATATGCTTCTGTGAAAAATAAAGTCAATGTCAAAGAAAAATTAAATATTTAGGAAGGGTAATACCTGGTTTACTGCTGGAACTTTCCCAAGTAATAAAAGAATGAGATAATCAGTATAAATAAATATTGAAATCCAAAAATTGTAGGGAAATCAGCTAAAATTTCAAGAAATTTAATGTTATAACAGTTTGCAATTAAGCCTTAAAGACTCAAATGAAGTAAGGTCTATCATCAGTGAGTTAAACAGTAATTCAGCACCTTGACCAGGTATCAACAAAATTAGTGAAACAGATTTTAACAACTGGGGTGTTTCCAGATGAGCTAAAAATAGACTGAGCTAGGGCATTCATAAATCTGGTCCTAAAACACTTCTATGCAAAACTATAGACTCGTTACAGGAATAAGCGTTTTTTTCTAGAATTATCAACAACATGATGAAAAGGAGGATGTTGTCATTTATTGGAAATCATCCCTATCAAACATAGTAATACTTCAAGTGCCACAATGGACCTTGTTAATAGAATTTCCACCAAACTAGATAACAATAAAATTGTTACTGCGGTATTTATTAGCTTTCTTGAAAACATGCTCAGTGTTTGGACCTTGGTTATTTTTCCTGCATCTTTTTGGCCTTGAGGCTGTAGGATCGAAAGCACAATATTACACCTTTGCTGACAATACAGTTTTATTATACAGTGGAGATTGTGAGAATGTTCTAGAACAACAAAAAAAAAATGACTTACTCATCGCCCAAATTATACCTACACATCATAACATAACGTTTTACTTAAGTAGGTACTCCAACTGGTTGTTGAATAATAAACTCAAAATGAATGCTTCAGAAACTAAATATATTTTAGTTTAACAAGAAAATAAAATAATTATTTTGTAGCCTATTGTCACACTAAATAATGTGCTATTGGAAATAGTTATTTATATAAAATACTCAGAGCTAATTATAGATGAAAATGTTAACTGGAAACTGGAAAGAACATAATTTCACATTTTCTGTATAATAAAATAATGCCAGATGTAGTACTTAGACCCCAAAAATAAACTTTTTATTACATTGCCTATTTTTTTTGTTACACTGTCGATATTTACTTCCTGTATGGGGTACTTGTGGTGGAATTCTAAAAAGTTCAAATACTACAAAAGAAGGTTTTGTAAAGAAAATTTCAATATGGTTAATTAAGCAGGGAAATTGCAAGTAATGCAAATAGATTAAGAGACTTTAAACAATGTGAATACATTTACAATTTTATACATAAACAAAAATCAAACTCTGAAATTCTATATACCTACAGATAATGTTCACAATGACATTACAAGAAACCATGGCTGCATCTACCAGGAATTAATAAACACTTTACAATACTAAATTTGAAAAAAAAAAAAAATGATTCATACTTATTCAGTTACATGATGCTCAATTATAATAATCAATTATGCTTACCTTTGGTTATAATATAATGTAAAGTAAGCTTGTTGTGGTGTATAATCTTTGGTAACAATCAAAGAGAGTTAGTTATGAATTGTATATCACTGATTTTTTTCTGTGTTCTCAGTGATTACCCATAATAATATTTTCAAAACAAGAAACTGCTATGTCAATAATCACATGTTTTTTGAGATAGTTCCACTAATAAGGATCTAGTTATTAGAACAGTCAAATTATTGCTCTCAGAATCGTGTCAACTTGGGATTATATAAATAGATCAAGAAATAACACATTTATGATCTTCTGTAGCATGGAGGGTTGTTCTATAGGTTCCTACTAAGCCAACAAATTAACTCAAAATATAAATCTCAACATAAATCAGAGAGGGTGAAAATTAATAATCAATTTTCCATATTCCTTACAAATAAAACATGTAATTTTGAGCTCTTATTCCCTTGTACCACGATAATACCGGTTTCGCCTCGAAGAAAAAAAAACTTGGCACACATATGGAAAAGCGTTTTCAGGAACTAACCAAACAACGAGCTATTTTAAAACATGTCGAACTGAATTTTCGATTTGAACCATAAAAATCACGACTCAAAGTTCAAAAAAATTAAATATTCAATAATCAAATTTGAAATTAGAATAATAAACGTATCAACAAAAATAGCCCAAAAGGAGTCGACGTGTCACACTTAAATACTAGCACCAGGAAAAATAATAACAAAAACCTAAATTACTAAAACTTACTGTACTGTAAAAACAGAAAATCCGTCCTGGGTAAACCGGAGTCTATGAAGTATCCAGTTTAGATTGGCTGCCTGGAAAAAGGAATGGAATTTCTAAATAAATTCACTTGAAAATGCACGACGTTATTAACCTACCGAATGCCAAGTAGAAAATGATTTTTTTCTTTCTCTCTCTGGAATTTCAGAAGTTTGTGCAAACGTCACGAAAACCTGCACAGAGCACACGTCAAATGACATTTGACGAATATTTGCCCTTACTTTGGCGCCATCTGTTGCACGTTATCCGATACACACGTTTTTTCCAGAAACCTTTGCGTTTCTAGAAAACCGTGTCCAATACAGTTTTATTTCTAGATAACTTTCGATTTTGCAAAGTAAATCAGCGAATTTCGAATGGTAAACAATTTTCCAAAATTCATATTTTTTAAATAAATGATTGGGGTTTTTGCTCCTAAAGGGCTATTCCGTAGCACATTCTGCTCCGTCTCGGCTTTCATGCTCGACTCGGCAGGGAGTAGATTTTGCCTATACCCACATCACATTCTAAATATAAAAAATATAATATTCCCTAATTTCTCCAAATAAATCCTTGAAATACATGATCGTGTTACCATATTTAGGACGTACATTTTTCTATTTATCTCTTTCATAGCTTCATAAGTTGTATTCATTTATCTCTGTCTTGTCAAGAATCGCCTGAGCGTCAAGCGTTGTTGAAAAGATCCAAAGGCAAATTTGCGGCATTGCCAGATTGATTAGATATATACTACGTTTTCATTGAGTTTTCAAATCGTTTTGAATCCAATCTTCTTCTCCGTTTTCATGCAGAGGCAAAATTAGAATTGAAATCGAATTGCATGTTTTTGAATTTAAATCTCGATACGATCCCAAAAAAAAGGTGAAACGACCTTGAGACTGAAAACGATTTCAGTACCTGTTTTCATGGCGTTTTCAAAACCAAAACCGTATTCAAAACGATTTCAAAACTTCATGAAAACGTAGTAATTGTTAGTTTTAATATATTTTACATTTTCATATTATTTTACATTTCTAATTATTTCATAGTTTTATAGTACTTCATGTGTGAAGTAAATAATTATTCAAGTGTTAGGATTACTATCTCTAACGCGGTAGGGATTAAAGATGATGCTTTCGCTTTTTAATTTTTTTTTTATTTCGAATCTCTATTGTTACAGCAGTGCACTTTCGCCAGCGTGTGACAGAATCCACGCCTGAAATTTCAGAAAAGACTGCCTAAATTCGGGCCAAGAGATTACCGCGTTTATTCTGGATTTTAGAAGATTGGATTACAGATATAAAAAGGCCGGTATTAGTTAGCACAGCAGTTTCAAATTTATTATTGATTGTGATACGTTTTAGATAGGTACCCAGTGATTATTGTAGAGTTGTGAAGAGTTGAGTTGTTTGAGTTAATTAGTGAAGTAATTAGTGTCAGAGTGTGCAGTAACGTGGAATAAATCATTGTTGTGTTAATTGGGCTTTCTTGTGTTAATTGGGCTTTTGATTTTGGAATAACACGGACCCAAGATTTCTATCACGCAAGCCAGATCCGTAACATTGGTGTCAAAACTGGGATATAATTAGAGGACTGCAAAGTGAAATGCGATTGCAAAATAGTGAGGACACTAGTGTAGCGTGGACACTAAAAGTGAACACTGGGACAGTTATAGTCAGTGCAAGCAGTGACAATCACAAAAAGAGACTAAAACCGATCGTGTAAATTACCCCGGATGTGACTGTATATCCGATTTTGACTGTGATAGTGAATTATCAGGTAAGTTCTAGAAAATTCTATTTGGAAATTTCCCTTGTGCAAATTACACTGGAAATTTTGCATACAAATTGTCAAAATTAATAAGTGGAAATTTTTGGAAATATCCCGGGAAAAATTTCCAGAATTGTCATTTTTGACATTGATGCCCGCTTCTCTATTTAAATGCATTGATGTCAGAAATCTGTCAAAGAATATATTTTTGACAAACGCAATTCAAATGGGAAAGATCAATAACAATCAGCATCAATAAAAAAATTCGACACAACGTAGTAAATAAACTTCAAACTCGGGAAATTTCCTATCAAAATATAACACGTGCATAAAATATTTCTTGAGGGAAATTTTAAAAAATTCCGTCTTCAACCAATTTTTTTGAACAAATTGGCTTCAGACAAAATTTTCAAAAATTTCCGGAAATATTTTATGCACTAGTTATATTACTACTGGAAACCAAGGGAGATATCGAATTTGTGACTTCAACGACGTGTTTGCTATATCAATCGACATTCAGCAGAAATTCTAGAAACATTCTATTCGAGAATAAAGCAAGTTATCCAATTTGTGACTTCACCGACGTGTTTGAAACTTCAATCAAAAACCAAGATTTTTGAACAGAGTTTAAGGAAACCTTCAGAACATTCTGTATATGCCTATTACGAGACAACAAGCAAAAATGGAAAAACAAAAAATTAAAGAACTTCTGCGCAAAATGACAACAAGAAAAACAAGACGAAGAGGCCAAGAGACAAAAAGAAAAACAAGAAGAAGAAGAAGCTAAACGACAACAAAAAAAAGGACGAAGAGATCAGGCGACAAAAAGAACGGCAAGAAGACCTTAGACAACTGCAGAAAATATTTCAAATCATACAAGGATCTGTCGCTCATCTAGAACAAAATATTAAAAAAGTAAAAGCCGAAGTTAAAGATGATGTTCTAGAAGTTAAAGACAATGTTCGAGAAGTTTAAAACGACGTTCAGGGAGTGAAAGCTGAGGTCAAAGCCGATGTTCAGCAATTAAGGCAAGAAGTTGAAGACCAAGCTCAAGCACTTTGATTAATTAAAAATACGGTCCATCAAGCCAGGTAGCATTCCCTAGTATGAAGATAAAACCACCAATTTTCGACGGTTCTACGTCCTGGACCAAGTACAGGGTTTTTCAAATTCGAGCCACATCATTGGGATTACTTAAACAGCGAGAAATACAGGGTTGGTTAAATTGGGGCACAGTTGCGTAACTTGATGCTTAACAAAATGCCGCTTTGATATTTAGGATGTTCCGAATATTTTCGGAGATATCCGGAAAAAAACTGAAATTTTTCCAAATTGTCTCTATTTTTTCCTGACTTTATTTAAAGTGATATTTCAAAAAAGAATCACTTTATCATAGCCACTTTTTCTCCCCTACAAGATGCTACCATCAAATTTAAAATCTGACGTTTCGTCTTTGAGCCACCATCATCAACTTTATTTTTTTAAACACGACCCTGGATTTTTTATTTCAGATTTTTAGATCTTCTGATGTCCCAAAACCCATGACGTATTATCGCATTTATTCGAAACAATATTTTTTTTACCTTTTTGTAATTTCCTACCAAAATTCTCTTCTCCTGTCTCTCTCTAAGACATTTAGTTCTTATGGAAAATGCCAATAATATAAATTTTTCGAATAAGTGCAATATGTCATTGGTTTTGGGACATCAGAAGCTTATAAAATCTAAAATAAAAAATACGGGTCCGTATTCAAAAAGATGAAGTTGATGATGGTGGTCCAAAGACGAAACGTCAGATTTTAAGTTTGAAGCTAGCATCTTGTAGGGAAGAAAAAGTGGCTAGGATAAAGTGACATTTTCTTTTCAATATCACTTTAAATAAAGTAAAAAAAAAATGAAAACAATTTTGCAAAATTTCGACTTTTCCCGGATATCTCCGGATAAGTATTCGGAATATCCTAAATATCAAAGTGGCATTTTGATAAGCATCAATTTACGCAACTTTGCCACAAATAAACCAACCCTGTATCTCTAACCGTTTCCGAGATCTCAATGATGTGGCTCGAACTTGAAACACCCTGTATATCCGACAATTTGAAGCCGCTGCAAACACCAACGGATGGAGCAATCAAGAAAAACCCACAGCCCTGATAGTGGCACTACGAGGACCTGCCTTAGACCTTCTTCAGTCCTTTCCTTCAATCTACCAACAAAATTACCAGCATCTAAGTCAGATGTTAGAATTGCGCTTCGGCGGTCATTACAGGCAAAAAGTATTCAGGACTCAAGTTAAATCAACAATTGAAAACCCGGCGAGAATTTACAAGAATTCGAATCGGAATTCAAAAGGCTAGTGAGTTGGGCGTTTCCTGCAGCTGAGGAAGACATGCAGGAATGGATGGCAGTATCTGCGTTCATTGATGGTCTCAGAGATTCCAGGATCTAGGAAAACCTGAGAATGTCTATGTTCAGACAAAGTAGCGAAGCCTTTGTCCGAGCATTGGAACTGGAAGCTATCTTTGGTGTCTCACGATCCAGAGTACGATCAATGTCCGCATTAAAGAACCAAAGGATAAACAATCGCCAAAAGAGGATGGTAGCTTCAAGAATGTTATGAGTAATTTCATGGGAGAAATAAAGAAATTATTACTAGAAGGTAGAGAACCGGGAAACGACTCCAGACAAACACCAACACCGAGAAACCGGGTAGAATGTTACCGATGCCATAAGCTTGGACATATGCAATGGGATTGTAGAGTAAGATGTCCTCTCCATCCAGGGATCGTTCCCATTGCTTTTCAAAATCTAGAGACGCCAGCCCCAATAACAGACAGGAACGAACCAGTACAGAGGGGCGGATGCAAGTAGTATAATGACGAAGCCCCCAGTGTTGTTTACATAAAATCATTGGGCAGTCATTATAGAGGATTAAAATTCGAGGGACAAATTAATGGAGAATTTAAAACCATCACTTGATACGGGTGCTGAAGTTTCTATAAATAAAAGAATATTAGTCAAGTCTCGGGCGATCCAACCGCTCACTAGAAACCTGTCACTACAAACAGTCACGGGCGAATCAGCACCAGGTTCAAAGAGAAGCTATGGTTGAGCTTACATTTGGATACACCACCTTTAGGCACAGAACATTAGTCGTCAATATAGAAAATTATTTTATTTTGGGAATAGATTTGATTGGCCAACATGATTTCTCTCTCGATCCTTCTATGATCATCCTTAAATTTGGTAATGAAGAATTTATCCTAACTACATAAGAAGAATCCCAAGCTGTTAAGATCCTGGCCACAAACCAAGTGAGAATTCCTGGAAGTACTGAGAAGATCATTTGCGGAAAATTGGAAACAATATGCGAACCCTGGGGGACGCCAGAGGTCACAAGATACAAAACCACAAACAGTAACAAGCTAACGACGCTGTATTTATTACCAGAGACACCGATCTCAGACAAGACAATTTCCTTATCAGTAGAAGATAGACAGACGCTCTCAAAGGCTTTAGATAAATCAGTGTATATAGGTACTGTCAACCTGACAGCCTGCTTCAACGGATGGAAGAAGAAATTTCTGGTAAACTGCTAGGTTACTGTTAGTACAGGCAGAACGATCTTTATAGAAACCATGTTGTTCAGGAATAATGTAGTTTTTATATTTGTAAAAAAATTCATCAGTAAGAATTGACTCAAAAAGTTCAGTTATGGCAGAGAGAAGGGATATTCTGCGCTAATTACTGACAACCGACCTATCACCTGACTTAAAACAAAAAAAAAGGTAAGATTTCTTCCATAGGGAAGGAAAGTCTCCCCTGCATCCATCAATCTTTGGAAAAGTGCTCTCAATGGGTTTACAAAGGAAGAGCAACAAGATTTCAACAATAAGGGTGGAATGCCATCAGGGCCTGCTTTCTTAGATTTATCCAAGAATAATGATAACTTCTCGGTAATTGTGGTAAAAATATGAAAAGAAAAAGTGGCAGAGAATTCGACAGAGCTATTGTTGGACAAATCCACATCTTCGTGATTTTAATAACAAGATTGAAAGTGCGAGGCAAACGCATCAGCAACATCATCAGAAGCAATGAGGGGTTGATTATTGCACTGCATTAGGCTGGATAAACCAGAAAAACGCGTTAGGCTTTTCATGTATGACCAAAAATGTTTGATGTTTTCGGGAACAATATGTTCTGCTTCAAAAGTAAACGTTAAATAACACAAATCAGTCTGGAACCTGAGTTTCCGCCCTATGTTTGAAAAGGCCTCAAAATTACTCTGCAAGCTATAGGTATCTCTTAAATTTTTTGTGCAATCTGTTTTTCTTGGCAATAAGTTTACAGAGATCTTCATCAAAAGATGCCGGTGTAAACCCAGTCATTTGCATTGAGTGTACATTGAGTTGCTACGGAGTGCCACCTATGACCAATCAAGTAAACTATGGAAATTGCATTGTTTAGCTTTAGGTGCGTTTACATCAGAACATGAAAATAAATATTATAAAAATACATTATTTTTGAAACTTATACTGATTACAATAGTAAAGAACAGAAATTTGCTAATATAAATAATAAGTTTCTTTTTAAAAAAAGCAGAAAATATGCGAGCTATCAAACTCAATTTCTAGAGAATTTAATGCTTTTTTTAATGGTGTAATTTTAATGAAAATATTGGCAATATAATAATTCCTTATCGCCACATGATAAATATCAATATTGTCAGCTATTTGAAAAAAGACCATTCATTGACAAAACACAACAAAGCGCCCGAATGCAGGAAATGCTGCTGAAAAGAATACAAACAAACCTGTTTGGCAACATAAAACGCTATTACCTACTGATGAAGCTTATTTAGAAAAATAAGTAATATTTGTAAACAAATAAGTACCTATGTATGTACAGGTGTTTCACGAACATGGAAACAGAGGCGTTTGAGGGTATTTTAAGGTCGATTTTAAAAAAACGCTCGGACACTTCAATTTTGTATTCAAGGAGGAAACTTTTTGACCCCATCGATATTTTGCTAGGGTGCACCCACTAGGGTGACTTCAACCCCTCTTTTTTAGATAGGGGAGATGGGTCAAGTGATACCTTGTGAAGGTATTTTGATTCTCATCACAACTGTGTACTTGTTTTGAAAATCGAATGATTATTTCTCAATATATTTACTCTCAAAGTTGCCATAGGCTAAATAAGAAACAAGCTTTTGGCCCTGTTATTCCCAAATTAACACTTTCCTGACTTTCTTCTCAGACACGTCAATTTTCTTTTTCTGTGTGCTTCCGAAAAAATTAAAATTGACGTGTCCGAAAGGAAAGCCAGGAAAGTCTTAATTTGAGAATAAGAGGGCCAGGGGCCAGAAGATTGTTTCTTATTTAGCCTATGGCAACTTTGAGAGTAAATATATTGAGAACTAATCATTCGATTTTCAAAAAAAGTACACAGTTGTGACGAGAATCAAAATACCTTTTAGAGAAGGTATCACTTGACCGATCTTCCCGATCTAAAAAAGACGGGTAAAAGTCACTCCAACCAGGGGGTACACCCTAGCGAAATATCGATGGGGTCGAAAAATTTCTCCCTGGAATACAAAGTTGACGTGTTCGAGCGTTTTTTTTTTAAATCGACCTTAAAATACCCCAAAGCGCCTCTGTTTCGATGTTCGTGAAACACCCTACTGTTTATACTTTCATGTGCGCTTGATTTTAGAATACCTATATGTAATATTTAAGCAGTGAGCTAGTGAAGCTCTTTTCTCCCAACTCAGAGCAATCATATTTTCGAACGCGAAATTTGAAATTTGTTTTATCAATACATTTGGCTTTTTTTTCATAGTAACCAAACAAACAAACTCTTGTTGATACATTGTAGTGAATAGTGAATGTTTAGTATATCAGCAAGTGATAAATATTTTATCCAAAGTAAGTGGATACTTAATATACTGATAGGGTTCGACAAACTATCAATGGGGAAAAACAAGAGGCTCACAATAATCATTATTATTTTTCAAGAATGCAGTCTCTAAAAAATAAGCAAATGTGTGGATTTACGACCAAAATGTACAATATTGTGAAAGTGATCCTTACTTTTTTGTTTTCAATGAAACACCCTTGTCGTGTGTCTTATTGAAAATGATAAACTCTATTGCTCATATTGAATATTGATTTTATACCAATGACTAAAAATTATGGGGGCGAGCGATGAAATTAATAGGTAGTCAGAGTAAGGCCCCAAAAAATCCTTGCTTACATACTTAACTATATTTGCCCCGAATTATTGTCAAATAATAATTATCCTTGAAGAATTAATATTTTATTTTCCAGATGTTGGACTTTCCACATGAACTTTTATCATGTGGACATTTTATCTTAGAAGCTAAAAGGTGAAAATTATTTTTGACTATGTAGAATCATTAACAGAATATGACACATTTTTTCAGGGTTATCCTCAACGAACAATTAGATAAAATAGCAAACATGACTCTATCAGACGACCACACACCTCAGCATACTGATGGAATGCTATGCGGCTATCCAGAAATTGCTAACGAAGCTGAACCTGAAATACTTTCTGAAGTAGACGACTTTATGAAGGATGATACTGATATTCAATTTGAAAGCCACCCAAACAATTCACATCCAAATCTGGAGCTGAATAAAATAGAAACTGCAGAAAAACTAGACGATTTTATCACCAATTTAAAAAGTCATCAACATGAATCAAGAAAAAAATCTTCAATAATCATTAAGAAAACATTAATTAAAAACTATGAAAATTCAGAATCGTTCAAAAACAGATTTAAAAGTCAAAAAGCCATTATCGACTTGCAACGATCGAAAATTGATGAACAGACAAAAATAATCAACGAGCTTAAATTAGGTATAATTCGTGAAGATCTAATAAAATCTATTGAAAATACTAAAATTAATATAAGGGAAATATTCAGTAACTGCTCTGGAAAATTATTAGCTCAAGCACCTATGATACAAGCTGTAGAAGAACGAAAAAAAATGATGATAACTTCACAGAAAGTACCCAAAACTTATCAAAAGATGCACCAAAGGGCTATTGAGAGAGCTAATTACCGAGAAATAATATTAGAGAGGAAGAGATTGATAGAAGAAACAAGGCAAAAATTGCTAGAGGAGGCTATAGAGAAGAAAAAAGTTTTAGAAGAAGAAGAAAGAAAACGAAACTTGGAAATCATTAGCGAACAACGAAAGAAGGAGCGACACTTGCAAAAAATGCGCCGAGAAAAAACACAGGAATATGAAAGAAAATTTTTATTAGCGACTAATTTTCATAAAAAACTATTGATGCAGCAAAGTTTCAAAAAAGTGCTAATAAATTTTTTGAAATCGAAAGAAAATCATTCTCTAGCAACCGAATATTACCGGCGCAAGCAAAAATATCGAATATTTAAAACCTGGTGGGGACACGTTGAAGCAAAATATAAAATCAAAGAAGACACAGCAGATGCTCATTGCGAATTTAGGATTCTCAAAAGAGCATTTGAGAAATTTAAAGAGGTAAAGCTAATATGTTATCTATTCTATTTCAATTAAACATTTTATTTGAACGGTGTCGAAAATTTGCATGCTATTCATTATGCTCTTCTCAAAACATTGATTGGAAGGGGTTGCATCTAATTTCATTTACAATTTTAGTAGTTAAACTATTGGGTTCACCCATTCAAGTATCACCTAAAATTTGAAAGTAAACCAATTTTATTGTATTATCACCTCAACAAAATAATTAAAAAGGGCATGTCAATAGAAATAACGTACCTAATGAATTTGCTCATAAACCTCTGAAGATGAAATGGTTTTAGGTAAAGTTGTGCACCTGGAAGTCATTCAACCAATGATGCTTGTATTAAAATGAAAACTACTCTCCAATATCATTGAGTTCCTATAGTTAGCGCTAAGAAAACACAAATTGCTATGAAAAATAATCTGTACAAAGAAATTGTGGATTTCAACCAAAGTTTTAAAACTAACGTGATTTTCTTTTACAGTTCAAATTGGATTGCAAACTAGAAATGCAAGTAGCAGAAGACTATTATGACATGTGGCTAACAATCCATACATTTAATCGGTGGCACAGATATGCTTGTAAGCAGATTATGTTGGAACGCAACAAAATTGAAATAGCGAAAAAACATTACATAAGGTATAATAATAATATTTCAGGAACTTCTTGGAAATTGCAGTGTGAGGTCAATAAATCATCTTATTTTTCATTATTGACTGACGATGTTTCGTTTTTGGGCAGTGCTCCAAACATTTAGCCCAGGGTCACCCAATTCCTTAATTCCTAATTTTTGTTCTTAATTCTTAATCTTTAAAGGCACCAATGTTAAATAAATTGAACTTTTTAAGAATTAAGAATTAGCGACAAATATTAAGAATCACGGAATTGGGTAACTCTGGCCTTAATTGTGAAATGCTTAATAAATGCCCAATCCTGGGGACACCTGAATCAATAGCAGATAAATACAATAATTTTCTAATTGAATTATGTAATTCCAAATCTAATAAAAAACAGTAGGTATAAATTTCAATTGTGACAACATAAAAACAATGCATATAGGTACAGAGGGTATACCATTTAAAATGAAACAGGCTAAATATCTGATGTCACTTTTATTTTTTTTAAAAATCGCTCGTACACGTAATTTGATTGTGTGAGTGTTTGAAATATGTTCAGCACTAACTTAACCCTTTAGGGGGGTGGGAACAACCCTTACCATTCCAAATGGAACAGGGGGGTCAAGTGATACCTGTTTTGAAAGAGCGTTCACTTTTTTTTCAAATGAAAGAGAAATAAACGCTATTTTAAAAGAGGTATCACTCGACCCCTTGTTCTATTTGAAATAGAAAGGGTTGGTCCCACCCCGCCTAGAGGGTTGAAGTTGAAGTGCTAAAAATGGTTGCAGAAGACTTCCCCCTTTGGAAATCAAATAACGTGTAAGTTCGAGTGATTTTTTAAAAAATAAACTTGGCATCAGATATTTAGCCTGTTTCGTTTTAAATGGTACACCCTGTATAAGACCCTTTACCCCAGAAGAAATAATAGAAATATCTCAAAAACTTAAAAATAAACTAAGTAAGTCATGGCATTGATGAGATTCCTATGAATATTGTTAAACTTGCCAAACGTGCCAAGCATGAAGATAGTTATTTGTTATGTTATAAATAATAAATCATTCAAATATGGCATTTTTCCTAACCAGAAAAATTAAAAAATTATTGACCCATAAGTTTTGCTTTACAAAAATGTTTGAAATGGCAATGTCCCTTCGACAGCAATTTTTCAATTTACAAATATACTTAAATTTTTTGAAGAAAATAAATTAGCTGCTGGGCTATTCATTGACTTATCAAAGGCTTTCGACTGCCTAAACAGAAACTATTTAAAAGAAAAGCTAGAAAATTATGGTATAGAGGACAGCGCTTTAGTTGGCTGACCTCATACTTCTCAGATTGATGGCAACGTGTGGAAATTAATAAGAACAATAACTCCTCTAGATGAGGATGCCTACAAAATCAGGTTGGGTTTCCCAGGGGAGCATACTAGGGCCGATACTATTCCCGGTTATGATAAACGATTTGTGTTCGGAGTGCAGCAGATTGGGAGAGTCTGCGATAACAAACTATGCGGATACCACCAATCTGCTGATCGCGGGAGTGGATCCGATCGGCATGACGGGAAGAAAAGTGCAATGAGCTAGATTCTCGAGCAGAGGATTCGTTTGAGAAAAATGAACTAGTCATAAACGAGAGCAAGACAAGCATTGTGATTTTTCGCACTAATAAACTAAAAGAGAAACCATCAGCAATAATATAAGTATCCATAATCAGGAAATTGACACATCAGAGCACACTAAATTTTTAGGTGTTATAATTGATGAATTTCTAAAATGCTCAAAACACATTGAAGGTTTATTGAAAAAATTAAATGGGGTTTGTTTTGCACTCAGAGTACTAAACGCATATGTCGAAGACAAAGTTAAAAAAATCATTTACTATGCAAATTTTGAATCTCGGATGTGATACGGTATCATTTTCTGGGGAGTCAGTCCCTCAATACAATCAGTTTTTGTAGCCCAAAAGCGAACGAATCAGATTATTGCATAACATGAGTTTCAGAGACTCGTGCAGAGGCAAATTCACGAAGTTGGAAATATTAACAGTTTCTGGTCTATACATACATGAATGCCATTTATATTTGCATAAAAACAAAAATGAACTTTTAAAACATAACACTAACACCACATACAATACAAGAACTACAGGTTATCAGATATTATATTATCCTATTCATAGATTAATTTTACCTAAGTGAAAAAAAAAACATCTTACAACTGTATTAAAATATCAAATATCTAATAAATTACGAAACGACTTTAACTAACACAATAGAAAACTACAAGGAATTTAAGAATAAAACCAAGAAACTGTTAATAGACATAGAATCATATTGTTTAAAACATTACTTGGATATGTAATTTGAGTATATTGTTTTGTGACGCCATTTCATTTCATGTTATTTTGTAATGCTGAGATATGTATTGTAAAAAATAAAATTGAATTAAAGCTACTATTCTATTCTAAATGATATTTAATTCCAATAATTTCAGGAGACTCCTATTTCAATTTTTTTTCCAATGGCGAACTTTACCAGCAGTGCTGCAATTGGAAAAAGCTAAAAATGAAAAGAAACGAAAATGGAGAGAAAAAGTTTGGGAAATCTTACCGGATTATCATCCTCCTGAAGATGTGTGAAGATGTTCCCTTTTTGTGTATTTTTTAATAAAACAATTGCATTTTTTCTAAAGTATTTTTATCAAACTAATAAAATGTGTTTACAATTTATTGGAAAAAGTTTTCATATTTAAGTGTGACACAGTTAATAACAGTCCGAGTAACGATCTAAAGTTCTGGATAATAATAATAATAATCATAATAATAATAATAATATAAAAATAAATTCAGACAACAGGAGTTCAAAATTGCAATCACCTCCATCTGCTTTTCAACCTCCATCACATCACCTTGCAGGAGGCATAACTTGGTATCAAAGACCTCCTTGCAATGTCCATGAGCATTTTCTGCTCATCTTTTGTGTTGCCACCTTTGCCTCGATATTAACCAGCTCTCTTTGCCTCCTCAAGGGGTTCTTTTCGTTTCCGGCATGGTTTTCTCATCGAGGTTGACATTTTTTTAAACTTGAATCACATACTGATCCCAATGATCCCTCACCTCAGGTAACTCCTGCCTAATATTCCCCCACAATCCCACATCGAGTGTCCTGAAGAGGCAGTTGCCATCCCCCTGAATCCAAGGGTATCTGCTTGCTAAATTGCCTAGAGGGTTGTCGCTTCTGCTGTTTTGTTTGGAATAGATAGATAAGTGAATGGATGGGTCAATGTCAATGATTAAACTTGTACTTTCCAAATGCTTTCCAACTATATCGAATATCGAGGTATTCAGCCATTTTCTTTTCTTGGGAAGAAATGAAGAAATTGAGCAGGCGGTGTGTCAACACTGTCAACTATGTCGATCTCCCCTAACTCCCCCACCATTCAATTCTGGGCCAGCGAGTGATGTCTACCAGCGGCTTGCTTATAGTGATGACGTCACCCGCAGACCTGGATGGAATGCTTGCGATTCAGGCTGTAAAAGAGAGTTGATTTTTTCGTCGATGTTAAATGTGGAAAAGGTGGTTTTCGGTCTGTTCTCACAGAAGAAATCAAGTGTTCTTAGGTGCTTTCCAGTGACCCATTTGAGTTACTCCTGAGCAGCTCAGGAGTGCTCCACAATAGGCTCCTTGCATCAAATTTTTTTATTTCTGATTTCGATAGTCCATGAAAAATAAGTCAACACGTATTTTTTCTTTTTCTTGTAAGTCAAAAATTGACGGAGATACGACGCTTTGAAATGTCCTTCCTACGTCATAACTTAGGTATAATACGTTGTGAGTTGTGACGTCGCACGTGCTCAGTATATCTATATATATAAAACTCAATATTTGTTATAACTTCCGAAATAATCATATTTGGACAAAATAGAAAAACACGCATGGATTTTTTTTCGATTTCCTACAGTTTGCAATAAACAATAATCAATTTAATTTTTCATGCAAGTACCCTATTGCTTTGCGCGTTCCAGTGCTTAGAGTGTCGTACACTTGAGCTACTCATTTCTGTTATCCCCTGCCCCCTCGTGCACCAACCCTTTTGTCAGTGTTTGATGCTCCTGAAATCCGAAATGGTGGTGGTTAAGACGAGAGCGTTCCAGTGCTGCTTATGTCGAACAGTTCAAGAGCGTCACACTTCATAGGCGATTTTCAGCCTGGAATGATTATTTAGCGGTAAATACCGTGGATATTCTTTTGGTTGACAACTTTGACAGCCAAGTGTGATGTCATAGCCCCCCACCATTCAAGAATCATAACCCAAGGAACTGACCGCTGAAATGATTTGGTTATAGCAGTGTAGGATTAGGTTTATTGTTCTTATTTGTTTTTTCGTTTCAACAATAGTTTTTTGTTTAGGTACAAAAAATGGAGTTGAATATCTCGTTAGTGTCGTTTATCGAACAGATTTTCTTTGGGGATGATCTAAACCTGGATCTAAACATGGTGAATTGCAGTGAGTGAGTGAATGTATACTTCTTTCATTGTGCCAGGCTACAACGCAACTGCAAAATCACAAAACACCAATACAAATTCCAAAAATATTAACAATAACATCAAAAAGCTGTAACCAAAAGATTAACCCAAGTCCAAAGCTGGGTTATAATCGGTTATAAGTGGTAAATACCAAAAGCAAATCAGCTGATATGTGACGTCACAACTTCCCCTACTTTGGTTAAAACCGCGACGGCGGAAATGCGTTGGTTATAACCAAATAATAATCATTCCAGGCTGAAAATCGCCTCAGGAGCATGATACTCTAACAGTTTAGGCACTGGAAAGCGGCTCTTGATCCTCGAATATCCCAGAATTCGATGGCGGGGGAATTAGGCGAGTATGACACAATTGACACATCACAAAGGCTACGTTCCGTTATAGCCACTTTTCAGCTGACTTGTGTTTGCGCTTCAAGCACGGTGCAACACAAGGTGAGTTCGGCTTGCAACTCTTTTGACTCCTTTGGCTCTTTTCACTGCGAAATCGTTCGGGTCACGCCACTGGGAGCAAATAGTGCAAGCTCCTCATCGTTCGGGAAGCTGTGGTTCGGGTACAGCCAAGTAGAGTGAAAAGAGTTAACTCCACAAGCACCGCCTTGAGAGATGAAGCTCGAGGAGCGGGCATGCGCACTTCCTATGTTTCCAAAAGGTGGTGAAATTTAAGCTTTCGATAATTCACTATAGTTGTATTCCTTTCAAGAGTTTGAAACACTCGAGCTACTCGCTCCGGTGTTTAGTAGCCCCCAATTTGCAGGGAACAGATACGTGGTGCAACAAACACTTTTCGAAAGGAAGAAGCGCGTGAAGCCCAGGAGCTGTTCCGGAGCTCCTCCTAGGTGTGAAAGGAATACAACTTATCCTAACGATCCTAACCTAAAGAGTTCAAAGAAGATATTTTTTGCTTAGGGCTTGGTTGCCTCCTGGAGCTCCTGGTAGAAGAAATGACTTCGCTCCCCAAAATATCCGCAAAAACAAACACATGTTCCTGTTTGTGATGGGAATATTCTCGTTTTTAGTAATGAAAAAATGCCAATACAAGTAAATATTAGTCAATATTTTTGTTTTTATATTACTTTAAATTAGATTATTTTATCTGGGAACAATCGTTTATTGTTTAATAACGGCCCACGGCATTCGCGCGCGGTGGCGGCTAACCTTGCTCCCTGCGATGCGTTCGGCTTAACCATTTTACTCTTTTCACTCTGTGATCACGTGACTATGAAACTGCTCTGTATCCGCTCCAACTCCGTTTTGCCAAGCCGAACTCACCTACAGTGTTCTGTGTTTGAAACGCAAAAGTTAGCAGCTTTCGAAGCGTAGTACGGCTGGAAGACAAAGGGCGGTTACACACGGACGTGGATGTCTTAATACATATACGTGCATACATCAACGTGCAAACAACAACGTGCATGGCGCTTTAGGCGGTTACACACGGACGTGGATGTCTGAAAACATGTACGCACATACATGAACGTGCAAACAAAAACATCAATGTGTATACAAAATATCGTCGCGTTTTTGAATGTGCAATTTTGTATGCACACTCGGAACACTGTAGCAAGAATAGCAAGACTGCAGTTTTGTACGAGCGTGTGTACAAAAGCGCCATGCACGTTCTTGGTTGCACGTTGATGTATGCACGTATATGTATTAACACATCCACGTCCGTGTGTAACCGCCCACAGTGTTCCGAGTGTGCATACAAAATTGCACATTCAAAAATGCGACGGTATTTTGCATACACATTGATGTTTTTGTCTGCACGTTCATGTATGTGCGTACATGTTTTCAGACATCCATGTCCGTGTGTAACCGCCTAAACACGCGCTTGAAGCATTTGCACGCGCAAAAGTTCGATTGCGTGCTCAAAATGGTCAGCTGGAAAGCGGCTGAACTGCCAGTACTCTGATTTTACTGCTGCCAGATTATATTTTACAAGTCGAGTCGAAATTCGTATCGAATTGTCAAAATAGGGATTCTATTTTTCGATACGTATGCCTGATTCTCACTCGCGCGAAATTCGCTCTTTTCTGACATTGCTTCGACAATTTAACGTCTAAAGCCTAGTACTCATAACTGCGAAATTCGCTTAAGCCTTGTACTCATAACTGCGAAATTCGCACTTTTTTGACATTAGGCGTATTTTAGCGAGAGTTTTAACCCAGTAGTATGTTGTATTTACTTGGGATACTACATTTTAGTGATCATGGCTAACATACTATGACGTCACAACATAAAACACAACATAAAACTCGGCTGTAAACATGTAACCATCCTACGAGGGATAGTTACTGGTTGTAGTATGTCAGTGCATCTTTTTCTAATACACAAAAATGAGCATATGGGCAAAATATCAGCTGATTACGCTACGATTACCGACACAATTCTTTCCATAATAAATAGAGGATTGTTTTTCCTCATTTTGCCATGGTTTTCTGTGATTTTATTACTGTGAGTTTTTTTGCAAAAAAAACAAAAATCTTCACTTGTGCACAAAAGTGTAATTTTTTTTTTTTTTTTGGCATATAGGGTTCCCATAAAATTCAAAAATACCACAATCTATCGAAAATATTCGAAAATCTTCACTGGAGAAATAATATTGAAACTCAAAAACGCAAAATTTTGCAAAATTCAACAAATCCAAATAAACAACGATCATGGCGTCCTCTCTTAGACCCTTGTCAAATACACTCCACCTGTTATTTGGGTAACTATGACGGTATGAATCGTAGTATGTGTAGTGTGTTTACCTGTCGCTAAAATACGCCTATTGCTTCGACAATTTGACGTTTTATGCGTGAATCTAACGTCAAATTGTTGAAGCATTGTCAAAAAGTGCGAATTTCGCGGTTATGAGTACTAGGCTTTCTATATGAGTGTATCAAACGTCAAATTGTCGAATCAATGCCAAAAAAGAGCGAACTTTGAGCAAGTGAGAATGAGGCATTACACGGTACGTCCGGAGCTGTCGTATTCGATATCGAGTGTCATAACAGACAATTCGACTCGACTCGTAAAATAGAATCCGGGCCCGCTGATTTTACTGTCATTGGCCGTGCCGTTCCGATTTCAACAGCGTATTGTTTTGCTGGCAAAAAAGGTACAGCAGGGAGATTCCAAAGTCACGATTCGACACACGACTCGACAAAGAGACGCAACTCGATACCGACCCTGTCGTCTTGAAAGGTATGATTCCAATAACCCTTTTCACGTGGCTCCGGTTTAACAAACCGCAACATAGCGCTCAAATTCGAGTGGTAGGTATCCACACGTCACTTTGTAACCGGGTTAGAAAACGGTATGTCATTTCTCTAACCGTTTTGTAATCCGGTTAGTGAAACCGGAGCCACGTGAAAAGAGCTAATGAGTTTCCAACCTAGGATCCTCGGAAAAAATCGTCTCGTTTGCGTCGAATCGTGATTCTAGAATCCCCGTCCAGTAAATATCAATGACGTCACTGGCGCATTCAAAACGTCATTCAATGGTTGTATTCCTTTCAAGGGTTTAAAACACTCGAGCTACTCGCTCCGGTGTTAGTCGCCCCCGATTTGAAAGGAACAGACCGTTCAAGTAATGCTCAAATAGAGTAAATACGTTCACATCTAGCTGTACGGAGTCGAGTGAATGGTACTCAATCCAAAAGATTCTACTTCGGAAAGGAGATTTTTACACTAGAGTAACTGACAAGGTTGCTCGGATATACTTGACGTTCTCTGCTCTAGAACAGGTGACTGCTCTTACTCCGTCTAGATTTTTGTAGAGAGGAATTGACAATTGACCAATTGCAATTTTTGCGCCTGCGTTGCGCTGTGATATGAAATGAAAGCAAAGGTGAAGGGTGAAGGTGAAAGTGAAAATTGAAAAACAAAAAGATTTAATTTGGGCAAATTGAGAATTAATAAGAATAAGTATTTGTAGGTGTCTGAACCAGTAACCAGCAGTGTTTAAAAGACTGCAAATATGTCTAAAGAAATGCAGCTGTTTAAATTATGCAGGAGCAGCTTCGCCCAGGTGAGATTGATATTTTTTCCATTACATAACCATAACAGACAACCTATTTCGCCTTATTTATTCAAAACTATTATTTATAAGCCTATCAACTTTAAGTACTGTAGGCTATAATAGTATAGTCCTTGGTCTACATCTTCCATTCAATATTTTAATGCGAAAAATATATAATAATTGTATCGTATAATTGAATACCTGATTAAAAAGGACTAGAAACCTTTTTATAAGCCCTACTAATATACAGAGTGTTTGGTAGGTCGATGCATATATGAGGTGATATAGTGAGTCATTTAGAACTGTTTTAGTCAAACCTACCTTAGTACCAAGTCTTATGGTTTTCAAAATAGGACCCCTTTAATTTATTCCTAAACAAATCCTCTGTTGGGCGCTCTCATGCGATATTCAGAAACAAGCATTACAAATTTCCACAAAAATTAGCCATACATTAACAAACTGTTTACTTATTTCATTCTAAAAGTGAACATTTTGTTTATAAAAAGAAGAATGAAAAGTACAGTTTTTCCCTGAATACCTACTCGATTTTGGCAATCTGTAGTCAAAGTAATTTTTGTGCTGCAAAAAAAAAAAATTGTAATTTTTTTGTGGTATGTGCAATTCAAAAAGGCACGTGACAAATCTTAAATGAATTTGAAAACCTTGGTTGCCTTTATTTTATCCAATTTTTTTTCCGAAAAAACTTAAACTTGCAATGGAGTTAATACTTTTTGTGACTTTAAAATGGCACTCTAAAGGTAGGCGGCCACTGCGAGCGAAACGAAACTATGCTAAGTGGAGATAAGTTTCCAGTAAATTAGTTACCATACTTTTAAATATACCCTCGGCCATGTCAGCTAAACTAAGCGAAGATTAAAATCTTTTTTATTATTATTATTATTATGATACAATAGTAAGCAGTTTACACTGATGAAACTATTGGATTACTTGTAAGTTTATCGTCGTGTTTTTGGTAAGAACTTATTGTCCATAATGAATATCCACATGGAGTAATGCACTCATATCGGTGTCGACCTTATTCTTGAAAGAATTCAGACTCTGGGCGGTGACTGTAGAATTTGACAGGCTGTTCCATGGGTAGACAATTCGATTTGCTATGAAGTTTCTTCTTGGAAGCTTGGCGGTTTTTTCCTTGCACAACTTCAAAGTATGACCTCGTAGATGGGGGTTGTTATTGAAGGTGAAGATGTCAAGGTTACAGGAGTAGCCATTTCGAATAATCTTGTATGTCTCGATCAGATCTCCTCTCTGACGCCTTTCCCTCAAAGAAGTGAGTCCCAGGGTGGATAGTCGAGTAAGGTAATCTTCATTACGGAGTGATGGTGGAATTTTTGTTACTCGTCTCTGCACTCACTCTAGTATCTCGATATCCTTTATGAAGTACGGATTCCAAACTGAGTGGGCGTATTCTAGTTTTGGACGTATGAAAGATTTATACAGTTTCATAATGGTGTTGCACGACTGGTCTTCAAAGGCCTTTTTCACAAGGTATATGTATGAGTTGGATTTTTTGGCAATTTTTGATATGTGCATCTCCCATTTCAGATTATAGGTTACTATGACACCTAGATCCAATTGCTCCCTCACATGCTTCAGCTCGACATTTAACATCTTAGTTTCGTTTCTTTTTTTTTTTTTTTTTTTTTTTTTTTTTTTTTTTTTTTTTATTATTTTTTTTATTTGTTTATTGTCTAACAGGATAAACCCAATAACAAGACAATTATAATAATCTCAAATTAAAGACTAGACAAATGTTATTGTAAACTTAAAACTAAGTTTTGACATATGCTTCATATACAAATACATGAAGTAACTAACTATAGTTTGTAATTAACAATCAAGAGAAAACAGATGTAAATTAAGTATATTAAGCAGCATCAACAGCTTCCCCCAGCAAAACCCCAGGACAAAAAGTTAACCCCAAGCTAATCAGCAATATTCCACAAAAATGCAAGATTCAATAATCAATCAAAACAATCACTAGAGCAATTTAATTCAGGAGAGCATTTTTTATCTGTGATATAATTTTAGTTTTAAATGACTTTACAGTACCATTGAAAAGATCCAACTCAAGTACAATGGGTATTAATTGATTATGCCATGAGCAGGCTCTATATATAGGCGCATTTCTGGCGAGATTAGAATGACAGTTTTCCAGATAAAATTTATGGTGAGTTCGGGTGTTTGCTGCAGGAACCAAAAAATTGAGGCAACTTAATAATAATAATTCGATTTAGCTCGTGTCAGATTCGAACGAAGTTTTTCGCTGCAAATTTATTATTTATCCACTGTTTCTGCACATAAAAAGTATGACTCTACCGATGCTGACTGTGAATACAGATCCATTTTTGTTGCAACAGGACTCATTCTAACTTTTTAAATAAATTTATAGGTCTTTCCGCATGAAAACACAGCTGAAAACTAAACGAAAATCGTTCCCAGTGGCCTCTCAAACTTAGTTAAGTTTGGTTAACGGTAGCTTCATCTAGCACAGCTTAGTTTCGTTTCGCTCACAGTGGCCGCCTACCTTTAAGGTGCTAGATGAAGCTAACGTTAACTAAACTTAACTAAGTTTGAGTGGCCACTGGGAACGATTTTCATTTAGTTTTCAGCTGTGTTTTCATGCGGAAAGACCTATAAATTTATTTAAAAAGTTAGAATGAGACCTGTTGCAACAAAAATGGATCTGTATTCACAGTCAGCATCTGTAGAATCATACTTTTTATGTGCAAACACAGTGGAAAGTGAATAAATAATAAATTCGCAGCGAAAAACTTCGTTCGAGTCTGACACGAGCTAAATCGAACGAAACGAAACTAAGATTTTAATCTTCGTTGACAAATTTTCGCTTAGTTTAGCTAAAATGGTCGAGGGTATATTTGAGAGTATGGTAACTAATTTACTGGAAACTTATCTTCGCTTAGCTTAGTTTCGTTCCGCTGGCAGTGGCCGCCCGCCTAAATCGAACGAAAGGAAACTAAGATTTTAATCTTCGTTGACAAATCTTCGCTTAGTTTAGCTAAAATTGCCGAGGGTATATTTGAGAGTATGGTAACTAATTCACTGAAAACTTATCATCGCTTAGCTTAGTTTCGTTCCGCTCGCAGTGGCCGCCCGCAAAAAATTCATGTAGAATTTCTAATGAATCACCTTTGGAAGCTTCTGAAAAATATTTCAAACAATTAGCAGGGTTGGAAAAAACCCGGGTTTTTTTGAAAAAGTCCAACCCGTCGGGTTTTTTGGGCTTTTTTGGGTTTTTTTCAGGCTTTCTGGGGCTTTTCGGTTTTTTTTTTTTTTTTTTTTTTTTAATCAATTTATTTCAGACCTCAAATCAGTTAGTTACAAACTGGTACCGAGGCCTTAATGATAAATATTATAAACAGATAACAAAAAAATATAAATACTAACAAATAATATAATATGTATTTCAAAAATATTTCAGTCTCTGTCTTCCATAAAGTTTTTGAGATTATGCAACACTTCTTTCTCTGTTCCGATGAAAATAGCTTCTGGCATTGTATTATATGTTTGTATGCTTCTATATATTGGGGAGTCTTGGGACTTTTTTGTTCTGGAATAAGTATTCCTCAGTTTACTTGTTCTCATGTCATAATTGTGAAAGTCTCTGTTTTGTTTGAGCATCACGTCAGTTTTTATCAAATTGTTCTTTATCTTATATATAAGTTTCGCCTGTTCAAACATTTTCAGATAATTCAACTTCAAGAATCGATAATCTTTATAAAGAGCTTCACTTGGGGTTTGATAACTTAGGCAAAATATTGCTTTTATTGACTTGTTTTGTAGTCTCTGAATTTTATTTAAGTCACTCACATTGGCATTTCCATAGCAAGGTAGCAAGTATCTGATATGTGGTTCAATAAAGCTGTTATATAACATATATTTTGAGTTTGTATTTAACATATAATTGCACCGTTTGATTGCTCCCACCATTGGTGCTACTTTTTCAATGATGTTATTGACATGCGCGGTCCATGTTAGTTTATATTGTTAGGCCTAAGTATTTGTATTGCTGGACTCTTTCTAGTACAACATTGTTCAATTTAATCACTGGATTAATGTCTTTTTTTCCACATTGTTGCAAAACCATATAAACAGTCTTTTCGGTGTTAATAGTTAGTTTATTGTAGCACAGCCAATTAAAGTATCTATCCAAATCGCTATTTACTGTTTCTTCAAGTTCAGTTTTGTTTTTTCCAGAGAAAACCAAGACGGTGTCATCACAGAACTTCAAATATCTTGCTTTTAATCCAGCATATTTTAAACTTTGCACATAAAGTAGATATTGCAAGGGTCCCAAGACTGAACCCTGGGCAATTCCCACACTAACTTTTGCGTTTCTACTAACTTTGCCATTTATTTCCGTACATTGCTCTCTTCCTGTTGAATATGTCTTTAGCAATTGATGACACTTCCCACGGAAACCCATTTTTTGTAGTTTTTGCATAAGTAGCGGGATGTCCACAGTGTCGAAGGCCTTCTGTAGATCTATAAACACAGTTATAACATATTTGTTCTTGTCCAACTCTGCTGATACGTATTCAAGAAGATCAACTGTCGCTCCAAGTGTGCTGCTTTTTTTCTGGAAGCCATATTGGTTCTGGTCAAACTTGAATTTTGTGTCAATGAATTCTGTTAGTCTTTTTTTGATAACTTTTTCCAATATTTTGCTGAAGGTGCTCAACAATGAGATTGGTCGATAGTTGTTAACTTCATCATGTGCTCCTTTTTTATGTATAGGTACTATTTTTGCTGTTTTCAGTTCTTCTGGGAAGGTGCCAGTATTGAGAACATTATTTATTAGATTTAACAATTTAGGGCCAATATTACCAAAATTTGTTATGATATCCTGTTTTGTTATATTATCTCTGCCAGCAGCACAGTGATTTTTTAGTTCACCTATTATTTGTTGAACTTCAACCAAGGTTGCTGGTTGCAATGATATGCTCTCTGTGTGTTCTTGTTCTTCA